ATGGGCTGTTAGGTCCCTGTATGACCGGTGTCAGAGCTTGGTCCGCATTGCCGGCAGTAAGTCGGGCTCGTTCCCAGTGAGAGTTGGACTCTGCCAAGGCTGCCCTTTGTCACCGATTCTGTTCATAACCTTTATGGACAGGATTTCTAGGTGCAGCCAAGGTGTGGACGGCATCCGTTTTGGTGGCCTGAGGATCAGGTCTCTGCTTTTTGCAGATGATGTGGTCCTGTTGGCTTCATCAGAACGTGATCTTCAGCTTTCGCTGGAGCGGTTCGCAGCCAAGTGTAAAGCAGCTGGGATGAGCATCAGCTCCTCTAAATCTGAGACCATGGTCTTGATTCGGAAAAGGGTAGAATGCCTTCTCCGGGTCAGGGATGAGGTCCTGCCCCAAGTGGAGGAGTTTAAGTATCTCGGGGTCTTGTTCACGAGTGAGGGAAAACTGGAGTGTGAGATCGATAGGCGGATTGGTACTGCATCTGCAGTGATGCAGGCGTTGTACCGGTCTGTGGTGGTGAAGAGAGAGCTGAGTCAGAAGGCGAAGCTCTCGATTTACCAGTCCATCTACGTTCCTACCCTCACCTATGGTCATGAGCTTTGGGTAGTGACAGAAAGAACGAGATTGTGGATACACGCGGCAGAAATGAGTTTTCTCCAAAGAGTGGCTGGGCTCTCCCTTAGAGATAGGGTGAGAAGCTCAGTCATTCGGGAGGGGCTCGGAGTAGACCTGCTGCTCCTCCACATCGAGAGGAGCCGTTGAAGTGGCTCGGGCATCTGGTCAGGATGCCTTCTGAACGCCTCCCTGGTGAGGTTTTCCGGGCACGTCCAACAGGGAGGAGACCTAAAGGTAGACCCAGGACACGGTGGAGGGACTATGTCTCTCACCTGACCATGGAATGCCTTGGGATTACCCCGGAGGAGCTGGCCCAAGTGGCTGGGGAGAGGGAAGTCTGGGCCTCTCGCCTTCGGCTACTGCCCCCACGACTCTACTCCGGATAAGCGGATGAAAATGGATGGATGGATGGTTAAATGTGGGAACAGATAAATTAATTTGGTGTTTGTTGTAGGTTGTCATTAATTCTGTTGTTTTTCAGAGTCGATGGTCTAAGACCCCCACCCCCCCACCCACACACACACACCCTGTCTCACACCACAATATTGTTTTCGTCCTTGTTTTTTATAATCAAGAACTATATTTTGGAATAGTAACAAGGTTTGGGATAAAATTATTGTGGCAGATGAGATGGAATAACCAATTTATGGAGTACATTTTCCCACTTTTATTAAGTTAAACATTTGACACCAGCTTTATCAACAACAAATCAAGAATTATCAGTTATGCTATTCTCAGGAGCCACAGTGTTTTCGGAAACCAAGCCAAGAAAACGCTGCGTTAACACATGAATAATAAAAACGTCTAATTAGACTTCATTAGCACAGTCACACACAAATGACCACAAAAGGGTTTGTTTATTTATTTCACTAATCATAATGCAGCTCTTCCTACTCGCTAGTTCTTCACATCACACAGCAGACGCCAGCGCTGTCACACTGGATCAGAGTTTAAGTGGTAAAATGGGAAATGGGAAAACGGGTTCGGACCATAAAAGGGAGACAACAAGAGCGGCAGCGACACGGCTCGTAAAACAGTGACGCAGCATTCCACTGAACAACAGGCTTTTGGTGAATAATTCAGCAAGTATAAGAGTCCGTTTGAGAGCAGGTTTTCTAATATTCATGTGACATGATAGCCAAGACAGGAACTCGGGCTCTCCCTGGCACAATGTTATTCATACTATGAAGCACTAAAGTGTTTTGTAATTCATAGCCCTGGTTTAAAGCCAACCAAGGACATAACGAGACCACCTAGAAGCCTCACTAGTGACTAAATAATTCAAAATTTATTCTCAAATTTTTAACCAAAGTGAATCAGATGTTCAAAGATAATTTAATAAATGCTGATGAATTCCCAGAAGCAACTTTCAGCCGAAGGCATGAGAATGACTTCCAACTTCCAGTCAGGAGGAACCCACCGGAGCGCCGTGGGCCTTCAGAGAAGGGCCTGATGTATTCTACAAATTCTCATTTAAACTTCCTTGTAACAAACTGTAAAATCCTAATTATATATTAAGAGTGTATATTTATTAAAAAAACTAACCAATGAAAACTTTTGATTCTGGTCAGCAGTGGAATTTGAGGTTTTAGCTGAAAGGAGACAGTTTACCAGTTCTGTAGGGCAAACTCACTAGCTGGTGCCTAACTTCATCAGCCAATGGGAGAGAGATGGGGGACACCCCAGAAACAAACAACTAGTCACATACAGGGGTGGACTGGGACCAAAATTCGGCCCTGGCATTTTTACGAATCGTCGGCCCTCAGTTGGCCCTCCCCATTGGGAGAGCTGTGATGGTGCGGGGTGTTGTCGCCCGCGGACTCGTCTCTAGGCTGAATGTGAGATCTAATATGGACTGGGACTGGTAAATTACAAGCAGGGTCAGACCACTGCGACCGGGAGCCCTGGCCTTCCAGATCAGCTCATTCTCCACGGGCGAAAATCAGAGGGACATTAGCTACATGCCAATGCGGTAAAACAACTTATATGTCATCGCTCTACCGCATTTTTCTTGCTAAAAATGCCTGGAAAAACTCTATTAGCTTTGGGTTACCATGTAGCTAATGTTCTGCAGATCACCAACTGTGGAGTAGTGTCGGCCAAAGCTGGGCAAGCAGCCCACTTGGCTAAGCGGCCCACCGGGACACTGCCAGAAGAGAGGAAACTGGAGTATCTGGAGAAAACCAACACATACACGGAGAGAACTCCATGCAGAAAGGTTATAGCATGGGGATTCAAACCTGCAACTTTCTTACTATAAGGAAAAAGAGAAAATCCGGACATTAAACAGCTTTATGGAAAGTTTATGAATCAAAACTCCTAGCCAGACAACGCGACAGAAGAAAACATAGAAGTTGAGCTATTCTTTTTGCATCAGTAGTTGATTAACAGGCTTCTGCAGAGCTTCATGAGCTCCTGAACAGGTAGTTCACCCATTAAGGTTAGAGCAGGGAAACAACCAAAACAAGTTGGATAACGAACTTTCGGGATAACCAGGATAAGTTATTCCTGGACTAGAAGGTTGCTCTTCCAAAAAATTCAAAATCCTTGGTAAAACTGGAAATACGGTTAATGTAGATTATATCTCAAACCTAATTATTACATTTGTTTTACTTTCATCTAAGTATGTACTCTTTTTGTTTGTTTGTTTGTTTGTTTGTTTTTATTAAAGAGCAAGTTCACTGAGAAATTATTTACTAATTTTTTGAAAATGATCGGTCACTCTGAGTTTAACATGCAGGCTGAACATGGAAAATAGTCTTCTAGCTCTTTCTCCAGCTCCTTCTGGCTAAAAATAGACGAGAAAATGCTCGGTTCAGAAAAGCCTGACAGATCTATGTCACACTGTCACTGAACATTCATGGACTCACCCATTTTGACTCAAGAGGGGAGGCTGTTGTTGGTTTAGTGTCAAGGAAACAGCAGAGAACGTCTTGGGTAGTAGAAGCTAACCATTTGCATTAGCAACTACACCACACGGCAGAAGTCCTCCCAGTTTGTGTTATTTGTGGAGATAAAAACATCCATGCAAAGAGTGAGTCGTAGAGTCACGTTGCTGTTAGCCAGTCAGTGATGAGATGTCCAAATATCAGGAAATAAGACTCCAAATCATGCAATCTGAAGCTACTTTCTCCTACAACTCACTTCTACGTCCTCAAACAGGCACACCAAGGATATTTTCCCCCAGAGAATGTCTAACAAGGCATTCATTCCCACTAGAGACCACTGCAAATGTATTAAAACTATGAGTAAAGCTGACCTTTGATTTTGTTGTTTTCTCCATCATTCTGGCATTCTTTATTGTAGTAAATTTAGCTTTGACTAAAAAGGTCTGTCTTCTTTTTTACTTGTTAAAAAGATGTTTTTCTCCCCAGAAGAAGCCACAATGATGTTCTGCTGAGCTGTGGTGGCCTCATGGAGGGGGCCATTGGCTTGAACACTGCTGCTAACCACTTAAACATTCTCCCTCTCCTGATAATAACATTTTACTTTCTTTGACACTGAATGTGCTACTACTAGTTTACCCATTTAATTATAGATTCACTAGAATAAATATAATAAATTTTATCTCTCACCAAATAGAATATTTACTAAGAAATCACAATGTAACCATAGAAACATTCCTTGGTATATATGTTGTGTGTGTGTGTGTGTGTGTGTGTGTGTGTGTGTGTGTGTGTGTGTGTGTGTGTGTGTGTGTGTGTGTGTGTGTGTGTGTGTCTGCTCTGTCTTCTCGATCCCCAGTTAGTCGTGGAGGATGGCTACTTTTACTGAGCCAGGATCCTCTGGAGGTTTCTTCCTGTTAAAAGGGAGTTTTCCTCTCCACTATCGCTAAATGCTTGCTTAGTATGAGGATTGCATCAAGTCACTGACACCAGTCAGTGACTTGATGCAATTTGCTGGGTTCCTTATATAGGAAACTTTTTACTGATTGGTTTAATAAACTGACCTGTATTGGAATGTTTACTGTGTGAAGTGCCTTGAGACGACTCTTGTCGTGGTTTGGCGCTATATGAATAAACTTGAAATGAAAAATTGAATTGAATGTAATAAAGTAGATTTTTGAAGTTATTTTCCCTCTATCAGTTAAGATGTTATTTCAACAACACCGAGCCATGTTTGGCTTACTTACAGGCTTTTAAAAATTTGCTCCCAAAACGGATCTTATTGCATCAACAGCACAAAGTTCAGAAATGGCCTTTTATCTGAGGGGTTTGTCATCATGCATCACTAAAGATGATGCGTTTGTCACGGTTTTTCTCCTCAGAAAACACAGGTCGCCTTATTGACCTAGATTTAATTGCAGCTAAACCCCAAAAGTACCATCACCCTCTCAAATGTGGTGCTGCAATATGTCAAAGAACAAAATAATACAATAACTGATCCTCACAGTCAACAGTCTCCTTCAGCAGGGGGTGGAGCAGACCTCGCGGTGATCCATGGTGCAAATTCAGCCTACGGGAGAGAATGGAACCAACCTTATTAAAAAGCAAAGCAAGTTATAGATGATCTTATGTTTTAGCCTATCTTAATTTGACCTTTGACCTGATTTCACGCTGATTTAATCATGCAAGATATCATATCTCTGTATATGTCTACATTTTTTAAGTTCTGCCACCTCTTATCAGATTGGTCCAGCCCTTCATGTCTTACATCTTCCTATCTGCACTATGACCAGTATGGGAGTTGTGGTTGTTTCTACCATTTTAGCTGCCATTTTAATGAGATCCACCTCCAACCCACTAGAATACAGCTCGCCTAAAGCTGGTGATTTGATTCTTGAAAATCCCCTCCATGCTAAAGGTTAGTCCAACCTGAATGTACAGTGGGAGAATTGCAAGCTTATATGCTGTTATGAAAAGATAACTGAGGTTGTAGAGAACAGGAACCTAATTTAGTCTGTTTGTGGTGAAATAGTTGCTTCCTCCAGCTGCAGTCTAAGAGGGTAAATTTAGAGTCAGTCTGACAAATGAGAGACTGGCTGAAAAGGCAGCAGAATGGCATTAAAGCAGAAACCTGGCAAACTGTTTTGTAAGCAGATGCCACCATGGTAGAGAAAGAAAACAGTAATACAGAACAGAAAAAATCAAACAGGAAGAAATCCGAGAATGAAAAAATTGTAGTTTCAATCTTGAGTTTAAACAATCTACTTTTTATTTAATACACAACTATTTTATAGTTAAATCTGTGAAGACGTTTTTTTTCCAAAAGAACTTAAGACGGTCATCTTTTGAGCAAGATGTTAGAGTTTAAGAGCTGTTATGACCTTCACAATAACAAACTATTTGCCCTCTAACCTGCAAGCAACATTTAGTGAAACTGTCTATGCTACAGGAGGCCTTGAACAGCTGGGATTTTATCAAAGATGCAGCAAAATCCTTGAAATTTACAATTGTTCTAATGAGTGAAATGAAGCGGAAAACATAGTTATATTAAATAAAATCAACTGGCTGGACAAGTACCACAAGTACAAGTCCCTCTCATTATAAATACACCTGTCTTGCAGTAATCTATTTATGAGAAAGCTCATTAATTCATGTGCGTGGTAATTAAAACAAAGCACTAATCACCTTCTGTCCCCATCAGTAGCTTGATCCTCTGGCCTGTTGGTAAAAAGCTCAAGGAGTGCGAAGCCTCTCCCCAAAGCCTGGTGGGAGCCGACTGGTTTGGGAGACAATGACACCAGCTCCAGAACAACCAGCACGCTGGGAACCAGCAAAGACGTGTGAAGGTACAGGACCTGGAAAATACAAGAGGACATCATCCATCCTTCTTCTAATTGATTAAACAACGGGAAGTAACAATGAAGAACGATTTTTCAAATATTTGAATAATTGCTAAAACATATCTCATTACATATCAGTTAACACAACTGTCATTTTTATCCAACAAATCTTGGTAGTACAGAACTTCCAACAAGGGGGTGATAACAAGCCAAGTAGTCTCCTAAGTACCACTGCGTTCTTACAGCTGGGGGTGCATTTTTCTGCTCAACACTTGTCAAAAGAAACATCCCGTGTTACTACCAGCAAAGGTTTGTTTTGAAAGGCTTGCTTTTGCAACTGTGGAACACAACACTCTTCTTGATATGCTCATAAACTGGGTGGGACCATCAGGCACAGTTGGTTCCGATCATATCTCAAAGACAAGGGTAATGTTGTCTCTATTGGTGATCACAAAGACATGTGGGATCCCCCAAGGTTTGATTCTTGGACCACTGATCCTCAGTCTACATGCAAAGTGCTTCTACTAGTTTATAAATCACTCAATGGCTAGTAGAACCCCAGGTCAGAACCAAACAGGGTGAAGCTGCTTTTAGCTACTATGCTGCACACAGATGGAATCAGCTTCCTTATTAACTCAAATGTGCCCCAACTCAAGTAACTTTTAAATCTAAACGGGACACTCATGTATTCATCAGCCTTTGAACAATTGTTTCTTATGCTACACCTTCTGCACTGTAACTGCTCAGTCTCTACCTTTGCCCTTTGCCATTCCTTACATGCGTGTTTTGTTACTCCTGGAAATACAAAGATGGAGCTGAGAGCAGGGCTGTGAGGGTGGGGGTAGATGACTGACACCCAACAAACTCTGAGCTGATGTAGCTACGAGCTAGCTGAAGCTAACGGAGGTTCGTGGGCATTTTGAGCCAGACAAACGCAGTTGAGCGACTGTGCTACCCTTTGCTTTATAGCAGGGACATTAAATTCCAGGCCTCGAGGGCCAGTATCTAGCACGTTTTGGTTTAAACCCTGCTTCAACACACCTGATCTTAATTAGCAGGTGATTAACAAGCTTCTGCAGAACCTGATGAGCTGCTGCACAAGTGATTCAACCACTGAACCAAGTGTGTTGGACCAGAGAAACTACTAAATTGTGCTGGATCTTCTACCTGTCAATCAAATGGACACACCCCTAAGTTTTCATAATTGCAAGCTGTAATTACATCTAAATTTAATTAAAGCCCCCTCCGAGTTGTCATGATGGCAAACTTTAAATCTAAAATGTTTTTTTAAACAAGCTGTAGACACGTTTATTTGTGCTGTGAAGTTGGCATTTTTAACATGGAAGTCAATGGAAACTTGCTCCTTTCTGGATCCAGCCCGTAGCAGATGAGGGGAAAACTGCAGTTTTTGTCCCTTCCACATAACCCCCCCACCACCACCACCACAGTACATTGATCCAACCCAGTACCAAGATCCTGAATTAATAGAATTACGAAAGACAACAATATGTAACTTAATAAAATGCCTTCCCATTTATCCCATTTGTTCTTCTGTAAGGACAATCTCATACGTCTCTTGGGTCTTTGCTGCATTATTTTAATTCTCTGTGGTAATCCATTCCTGCCAACACAACCTCTACTTTCAGAGTTGTGCCTTTGTAATGTGTGCAGATAAAAGTTTGTAATACCTTAATGAAAAATACATGAACATACTTAAAAAGGTGTCTTACATAACTGTTACCATCACAGAAATATATAGTATCTCTGCCATGGTCATTGAAACAAACACAAATCCAGGTTTAGGAAGTCTCAACAACAACAATCCAGATGGTCTTTAGATTTCCTCACCTTTTCTCTGCAAATTGCATGTATATCTCCACTCTAAGAGGGACAAGGCTTATTGCAGAAATAATTAAGATCAACTAGAGCTATAATGTGACATATTATAATAATGACCAATAAACAGCATGCTGAAAATCATGTCAGGGAAATGACCTATAAACAAGTACAGATGGTGCACAGTCCCCTGGCATCTAGTTTGGCTTGGAGCATCAACTGTTGTCTTCGTTTGAGTTAGAGCAGTCCAGGGACAATCAAAATAAAAACACGATACATATGTGGCATTTAATTCCAGAGAAACCAATAGAATAAATTGAAAGTTGCCATGGTGACACATGGGACTGCAGTCTGTGCAGAAATTTGTTTGGACTCTTATGTGCAGAATACATGAAAAAAAGGACACAACTGTCTACAGCTTTCTTGGATTAAGAAATTGATTTATTGGAAGAAACGTTAAAGTGAGACAAAAAGATCAATACAATTGCATGTTCTCTTATTCATAAGAAATATTTTGATTTAAAATAATTTTCCTGGCTTCTGCGTCAAACTGTTTTAACTTAAAATTTTAAATAACTTTATTTAAGAGACAATAGTTTAGCTACTTTTGGTGCTCGAATCAAACTAATTTAATATATTTTAGGTCTAAAATAATAACGAACAAGATTGCTTGTTCGTGAGGCAATGATATCAAAACAATCTCAGTCATGAGGTTGGTTTATTATGTTGACCTGCTATTTCCATACAAGTTCAGACACAATCAACCCTTAAGGGAGTCTTTCTGTAGTCCTGCCAGGAAGATGCAATTGTACACAAGCTCTTATGTGCCCAAATTTGAAATAATAGTCCTGGAGTGCCAGAAACACCCTGTTTTACACAGCACAAAGGCCTGGATACCACAAGGAGACCTACAAATTCCCTCTGATCCATTGATCATGGAGCATAATAACATGCTGACATAATCAGAAAAAAGTCTAAGTAGATGTGAACTACCCTGAAACACTAACTCCTCTTCTCCAAGTGGCTCAGAGCACGTAGAACTTTACACATGGCAATCTGCTGCTATATATCAAAATTTAAGTTATGCAATACAAATGTACAATATTTATCTTTTCTTGTTGAGATAACAGTTATCAGCCATAGCAGCCGACATTTTCATAGCTGTGCATCCCTGCAATGGCAAATCTGCCTAAGATGCTAGCTTTTAAACACAAACACATCCTTCCCGTCGGCTATCATCCCTATAGGCCACACCCGCCTGACACCAGAACGAGCATTGCCACGTTAAACGAGAGGGCGCTAAACACCAGTCGCCGTTTTCTAGACCCCAACATCTTTGTTGTCCGTGACTTCAAATAGTGTTTTTCTTTCTGGGAACCTCTCGCCCAAGTGGTGTCCTATTGCAAAATCTACAAGTGCGTAATGAATGGAGGAACCAGGGAAATGCAGAAGTGCATATGTCTGGTGAGACAGACAACTGGATGGTCCGATAGTTGGTTTTGGACTTAGGCCTAGTCCACACGTAGCTGGGTTTTTTTAAAAGTGAATATCCGCCCCTCCAAAAACTTGCATCCACACCACCTCATTTTAAAAAAAAACTCTGTCCACACATACCCGGATAAATACGTTGTTAAGGACATGCCAGACCTGTAGGCGGACGTATTTCCCCCGTTCTTAACCTCGTCCTTCGTCTGTGGTCCGCAAGGAGCAGTAATTCCGCTTGCAAAAACAAACAAGCAAAAAGCGCTTGGACAATTGATAAAGCGAGCGCAGCTCTGAGGGCATCCATGCTGTCGGCTAGTGTAAACACAGGTCGCACACGTGATGTCAGCATTTTTTTGTCGCGGAAAGTGACGTTGCGGAGGGGGGCGGAGTTTACAGCTCCTTCTTCAGATTTAAAGAGACAGTACCCAAAAACGGCTCGTTCTCAAGACTCTCCTCAGAACAGGGGTAGATGAGGGTCTGTAGAGCAACAATGAGGAAATCAGACCAAAGAACTGCAGCTCGACTATATTTAGACCCCCAACTGAAGGATTTAGATGTAAAAAGGAATAACTTAAAAGCATGTTATGTCTCCTTTAAAACTCCGGTTTTGTCTGTCCACACGCAGACACCCAAAACGGAGAAAACGCAGATCTTCACTTTGGCCGGAGTTTTAAAAAAGATCCGTTTTCGTGTGAAAAAACTCAGTTTTTGTGTGGATGACAGGCCAAAACGTAGAAAAATATCTACGTTTTGGCAGATCCCCGGCTACGTGTGGACAGGGCCTGAGTTGTGTTATTGGCTGAGGTTCTAAGACAAATTAGAGAGAATCACTTCATGTTTTTTTAATCTCCACAAAATATTTACAGCTATACGATGTTAGAATGCTGTTAAGTGGCATGGAAAAAATTTTTTAAGCTAACTAGTTAAGCAGATTTGCCGGTGTAGCGTTAAGTTCATATTCAAAAGAAATGTTCATAAATCATTACTGAGTTACATAAGGAACCAACAGAATCAAGCTCAGCTTTCAAACAACAACAAAAAATGAAGTGTTCTACCGAGTGTCGTGTTTCTCTTCTGCCCAGAGCAGATAAACTCACAAAATTAATGAAAAGATAGTGGAAAGGAAACAAATGTAGATTATTCTTTTTGCTGCTGAGGACAAATGCCAGATTTTAGAAGGTTTTGGGGGTTTTAGTCTACTGTGAAAGAGGCTTTAAAAACAGCCTCCACTGCTTTCATTTCATTGCTCCAAAAAGCATAAAAGACATCCATCTGTTTGCAATAGTTAAGGCACATTGTTCTTTGCTTCATTGTTAATCCTAAGCACCCCTAAATTGTTTAACCATTACGTGTGAGAAGAGTTATTAAAAGTGAATATAAGAGAGGGGCAGATTTAACTCCAAAGCCTGGGTCTGTTTTTGTTCTGATCTGTTTTTAACACAAAACACTCGTGAAATTCAATTCACTTCTAATTCAAAAATACTTTATTAATCCCAGAGGGAAATTGATTGCTGTCGTAGCTCAGAATAATAATAATAATAATAATCAAGTTGTCAAAGAGTTGTTGTATATTACAATGGCTGTTGACAGGAAGGATCTCCAGTAGCGGTCAGTGTTGCTTTCACACACGGGGCCTATTTACATATCCTTACATCCTGTTGTGTTATGCAACAAAGAACTCAGCTGAAATGAAG